TATTTTGCGGATTCCGCAAAATACAAAAGTATATTTTCATGAGTTTTCGACCATTTTGAAGGATCCTGCCTGGGCGCCCGGTAAGGGTGCGGTGCTGGCATGAAGAAGGATCCTATCTTTGTTGACGAGCTCCACAGCGCAGAGTGCGACCGTGTCTTTGTTAAAGGCCTGGCCGTGGCACTGCTCCTTCCGCACCTCCACCGCATTTGCCTTCTACTTCGGATTGCATGACGCTGCCCTCCCAATATCATTGAAAACGGCAGGATAAATCTTCAGGACAGACAGAGGCAGGAGGACGGCGGTGGGCGACAAGGCCGGCCAGCGCGAGCTCCATTATTATGACGTTCTGCCAGGGAACCTGGATGGCTGAACTGCTTTGCAGCACCAATCATGCAAGTGTTATTCACATTATAAATCACAAACGCAGCTCACTCAGACAGCACAGCCCTTAACTCGCACACTCTCTTTTTTAAGCGTGGCGGTTCCCGGAGTTCAAGTCGTACACAGCTTTAAGCTGTTCGCAAAAGGACAGTCCTGCAAGCCTGAAAGCACGAATCCTGCAAGAGACGTTTCCAGCAAGCGAAGGTGCACAGAAGCCCCCTCAAACATGGATTTGGTCAAGGGTGGGACGGTGGGACAAAAAATTTCCTTCAATCTCCTGCAAGCAGAGCCAAACTTCAACATGCGCATGTCATGAGTAAAGTTAAAATCATTGCTCATGAAAACCTGCCAACTTGAAAAAGGAAAGACAAAGCGTTTGTCGGAAAATCAAATTTTTCTTGATTTATTTCTGGAATAAGGCACTATCCCTTTTTCAAAGGGAGGTAGCGCTTATTCACATTATAAATCACAAACGCAGCTCACTCAGACAGCACAACCCTTAACTCGCACACTCTCTTTTTTAAACGTGGCGGTTCCCGGAGTTCAAGTCGTACACAGCTTTAAGCTGTTCGCAAAAGGACAGTCCTGCAAGCCTGAAAGCACGAATCCTGCAAGAGACGTTTCCAGCAAGCGAAGGTGCACAGAAGCCGCTCGTAGAAGCACCAAGCTGTCAAGTAAGAATCTCCGGAGACCACCTGACACGCGAAGATGCAGAAAGTTTGTCAAGCACCATCCGCGATGGGTTATCGGCTGGATTTGATGCGCTCGGTACGCGTTCGAACCAAAGGTTCAAGTTGTTAGCATCTTCCAAGTGGCTCAGCTCAGCAAGCTGTGCGTTCACAAGAGAAGAGTCAGACTTGCCGCTGATCAAAGCTGCCAAGGCCGCTTCATTGTCACAAAACAGGACAATGTCGGCAGAACGAAGTTTGCAGCACAGCCTACAGACACCTTGAACTGCAGCGCACACTTCCATTTCGTAAATGAAACCTTCTTTGTCTTCCACGTTGATAGAAGACAACAAATCTTTACCAACTTGCTCAGCGTACCAGCAGACGACAAGCTGAGAAGTGTTGTAAAGAATCCCTCCCAGGCCTGACACACCGCCTTCAAGAGATGCATCGGTGTAAAGATGATAGCACATGCGCTTCGAAGCGGACACCTTGCGCGGCTCATCCAAGACCACTCGATCTCTCAGGAAAAGCAGCGCCTCAAGGAGATCGTCAACAACCTTCACAAACCCAGCCTTCCTACAAGCACGAGAGAGGACCTTCATTCGAAGGTTGGCACCCCTGCCGAAGATCTGGCCCTCAGCGAAGATGAGACGACCTCGAAGGCTCTCGAACTCACGAGCAGTAGCGCCCCCGTTCTGGATGATGTTCGTAATCATCTCACTCAAACTTCTCTTCCGCGCTTCGGTGTTGCAAACACTGACAAGGCCTGCTCTGGAGTCAGACAAGTCAATCTCAACACCAAGTGCACGAGCCACTGAGGAGAACCCGCCGTCTTTCTCCCCGGAAACTTCCCAGCACAAGAATGCGAAGAAGCTGGCTTGCATTAAATCCAAATGCTTAGATTCACGTGCGGCACACACTAGTATGAAATCGTCAAAGTAAATGGTCCAGTGAAACCGGAAAATTCTCTATCCAATGAACCATAAAGCCGACGATGTTCTACAAAACGCCATCACTGATGGTTTAGCCCCGAAGGGCAAAACCAAGCACTGGAAGATTTCTGGTTGACCACTTGCAGGGTTGTACACACAGACGTAAGAGTCTTTCAAGGCATTATCCGACAACGGCAGTTGTTTATAAGCCTTTCTTAAGTCTATGGCTCTGGCACGCAAGTCTGGATCCTTGCCGAGACGCTTCATCGCTCTGACGCGATAGATCATGGCTGCCACCACCATGTCGACGCCTTGCGGCATGATGGTCTCGTCACCACTGTTCGTCAAGTTAGCCAAGCTGGCAGTGAAGTTGTCGATAGGGCGGACTTTAGAAACGGAGCCCAGCTTGGCATCGTACGAAGACTGAACTACCCCGAAGCGCGGAGTCAAGGCGGCATCTCGCGGGATATCGTCAAGAGTGAACGGCCCCTTCATCCAACCTTTGGCGCATTCCTCCTGAGTCAGCTTGTAGATTTCGCTCAAGACGCCATTTGGGTCTGGTGTCGAGCCCGAAGCTGCAACCGAAGCCCATGTGGCTTTCTGGTTCAAATGCGCTACCTCACGAAGCTGGTCGATGCCTACGGTGGCCACAACTGTTTTCTTGGGCATGACACCCGAAGATGGCATGGTGCCCAGAAGCTCAAAGCCTGTAGCTATGTTGCGTGCCAATTGACAGTCACCATACCCAGATTCAAGAAGCATCTCCTCAAAGAGTTTCAAAGATTTCGAACCCAAAATTTTCCGACACCTTTGATTCATGGGCAGGTCTTCGCCAGCTTCGCGAAGCTCCTTGGCACGCAAGACCCACTTCCTCATGCACTCAGTTCGCTCTTTGGCCAAGTCTGCTTGGGACGATTGAACCTGATGATCAATGGACTCTTTCAAGGCCTGAGGAATGCATTGCAACAGTTCGCGAGGATGTTTTGCGTGGCAAGCTTTCTCAACAAACTGCTCCGGCGTCCAAGGTATCCCGTAGGATCTTTCTTCACAGATCTCCTTCTTGTCAGGGGGCCCAGGGGGTGCAGTACACGGGTCAACCGAGACTAAACCGAAGGGACAAAAGGAAGGATTGCAAGCATCGCTGGACTTAGCATTAGCTGACCCTCCTAGTGCACCTGCATCAGAGGACCCTTTGAGAGCACTCGAAACGGAGGGGTCAAGAAGTGAACTTGCATCACCTGATCCTTCAAGAACACTTGAACCAGGGGCTCCTAAACCAAAGGGGGCCGGGGAAGGAACTAACCCGGAACTAGAAGCAACAGGCACTGCAGAAGCGCCACCAGTGCCCCCTGAAGAAAAGGCGCGAATGCATTTGGACCCTGGGGGCAACACAGACACGGGTGGGGAAACCTTAAGGTCGGGAGGGATGGCAAAGGCAGTGGAGAGCTTGCTCCCCGAGGGCGGCATGGCAGATGCCAGCCCCTGCAACGCGACGATGGAAGCGTATTCTGACACCAAAGGCTTGAGGCTCTTGCCGCGCGGCTGAACATTGACGGATGCCCGCGCCGCCAAAGATGTGGCGGGATGCTGGCCGGCCAAGTCAGCAGAGGCAGGAGTAGCGCCAAGTTGCACAAGCTGCTCTGTAAAGGACAAAGCCATCAACCTGCAAAGCAACGGAGGGTAGGCGACCTCAGCAGCAGTGGCGAAGGAATTGTCGCCAAGGCGGCCCCACGGCAGGTGAGGGTGATCATTGGTGCAATGCAGCTGCAGCCTTGAAAAGCAGGGCACGGAATGAACAAGTTTGGTGTGCTTGCGACGCTGCGAACCAAACATGCAGTGATGAAAGTCGGTTGTCGCATGGGGTATGCGCTGCAAGCATTGCTTAACCGCTAGGATTTGCCAAAACATGGACCTGAAGGGATTCTCAACTGAAAACAAGATGCCAAGCTCAAAGCAAAGATCAAGGACCTGAGCAGTGAAGGAGTACAGCTCATTGGCGAGCTGAACACGCCTGAGATTGCAACCGTTTAGGCCATGTACGCCCAAGGGCTCAGCAGAGGTGCGCAAGACAGGGGGGCCACCACGACATGGGATGGCCCTTGCGGCTGAGGCCGCCACATGGTGGCGCAAGATGACAAGCTGCAATGTTGGACTGGCGCAGGACATCAAGTAGAATGGCCTGAGCTGATTTCAAGCCAAGATCAAGGACCACGACGGGCGACTTCTGAGCTAAGGCCTTATGGTCAACAGCAAAGCTTTTAGGCATACCTTGTTTGCGAATCTCAGCAGTGAGCCCTGCAGTCCCACAAAAAATTTCGACAAACACCAGATCTTGGAGAGGCTGCTGCTTAACGCGCTGGCTCACCTTTCGCAACCAATCTGCTAAGCCTGGGGTGCTTGGACACTGCAGAACATCAGGAGGTTTGTCAGTTCCGTGCATGCTCGACAAAAGAAAACCAAGCGCGAGAAGGAAGTGATAATCAGAAGCCTTGAGGCGGGAAACGTCTGACCCAGCATAAGCAACGATTACTTGCCTTGCTCCAACCCAAGGCTCGGTGCAATGCAGGCAAGACTTCACTGGAAGTGTGATCGCACCACTGGCAACATCATGAAGCTCGCCCATGTAGGTTTGCCCCTGATGTACCCGGGCAACAGTTCCCCCAGGCTCTTCGCACCATATTTGTCCTCCCGAAAAATGCGAGAGGGGGCAAATGAGATTTGGGAAATCGTCATTGTTCTTGTCACGATGATAAGACGTACGCAAGTTGGAATGTACTGCGATGGAGCAGAAAGGATGCTCCGGCTTGATGGACTGCACATAAGAAATTAGCACTTTAGTGACATAAGGGAATCGGCGTGTGTTTGACAGAACGCCGTAATCGCCACCATGTCGGTAAGCACCTACCAAAAACGAAGAGCCCTGAGCTCCGGGACGCTGGGACTCTTGAAAGTCTAACAAACCAACTAATTCAAGAACCTGATCCCTGGTGGGCGGCTCCAAACCACCCAGCAAAGAATGCGCATGCAATTCTGCAGGATGAACTGGTGGCGGCAGCACATGCTCTTGCAGACCTAAAGGAAAAACTGACTCAGCCACAATCGGACCTTGATGACATGCTGTATCGGATGCAGTGGGAACCTGAGGCGCAACAGGAGGGGCCTCAGTCCCCACAGCATGTCACTCATGTTGTTTCCATGCCGCGCACTCGTACAATGGGTGCGGCTTCAAGCATTTCATGCAAATGTGGGTACCGCGCTTGCATTTCTCGCCTGCTTTGGCGAAGCTGCAGCCTTTCTTCAGGTTATAGTTCCAACAAATCCGACTGCCATCGGATGCATTATGGTGAAGACTCTCATCAGCAAGTTCCGAAGGTTTCTTCAAGCTTCCAGATGAGTCACGCTTCGCACCTTGGTGTGCACCTTTCCCTTCGCCCTTGTCTTTGCCCTTCCAGGCTCCCATGCCGCGGCCACGGCCCCGGCCACGGAATGCATCAGGCGTGTCGACCTGCTGGGATTTCTTTCCTGGCAGAGGAAGCAGGTGGAACAGCACTTGAGGATCGGATTCCATCTTGCCAAAGGCCTCGTCCAAAAGGCAAGTTGCCTGCAGAGTCCCTTTTAAGAGAGGGAACAAGCTCCGACATTCTAACCCAAGCTGCGCGGTCACAACGCAAGAGTTGCTCTATGCTGGTCGGCTGAAAGTGAGGTGGAGGACTCAGCGAGAGGCGTCCTAACAAGAATCGATGCCACTTCTCCATGGTAGCAAGCTCGCCACCTGCATTAAATCGCATGACAGAGATCTGCGTGTCCAAGCTTCTGCAAGCTGTAATTCGTTCTGTATGGTACACTTCTCGCGATGTTGTCTGTCCCGCACACTGATACGGGAAGCCTCGTCTAGGACCAATTCTTGCCCGGACGTTCCTTGGCCACCTCGGACTGTCGTGTTATGAAACGGTGGGGCTCTAAGTACACCACATGATCTGATTCGACCATAGAAGCAACATAAGCATAGTTGGAGTATGCATTTTCAAGCGGTCCACTGAGATCATACCCGGCAAGATGACTTCGTTGATCTTTGATCCTTGTAGCCCTTTCTGCTGGGGCCAATTCCACCTTCTTGTCCACATCAGACTCAATGATCGATTTGATCTGTGAGATTGCAAGAGTCTGGCTCTCAAAGACAAGCCGCCTTATGCTCGCCAATGTCTGTACAGTCACAGACCCCGGATCTGTTGCATTCATGAGACCCCTCAGCGCCGCCTCATCTGGTGTCACGCCCGGCGTTGTCAACGTGTAGGCAAGCACTGACAGCGAGGAGACGCCCTTAGCAACCAAAGCTTCGACCTGAGCAGCTGTCAAGCCACAATCTTCGGCTCGCTCTTTGAAGGCAGCCTGAGACTTGAGAACGCTAGCCATAGCTTGTTGGGCTCAGCTAAAAGTCGATTGAAGACATGTCACGCTCAGATGGCACCTTCAGGTCAACATGTTGAATCGAAGAATCAAGACTCATGAGAATCCAATCCTAGCATCCAGCATGCTTTCCAACTCGAGCAAAACTCATAGAGCAGCGTCGGAGCAAGCTCTAGATGAGTGCATCAAATCTTGCTGATCACAGATCCTTCATGTCCAGCAGAGCACGTGAACCATTCCCGCAGGTCCCGCAAGGTGGGCGGCTCCGGCAATTTGCCGCCCACGTGAGGCTTCTCCTCCGGCAGCTGGAGTTCCTCATAACGGTGCATCCATTTTTCCTTCACGGCCCTCGGTCCAGTTCAAGAACGCCTCTTCAGCGCTTTCTCAAGGGCAGCGTTGAGGGAACCCAAGTCATTCAAGGGCTTCCCAGCTTCACATTGTTTGCACTTCCAGCTGGATGCTAACCGGAGCTCGAATGCGCCTGTGGTCTTTGGTACACACTCTGCCACAGACGAAACGATCTGAAGACGACCCCTCGGCACGCCAATGAATTGTCTTAGTCCGAACATGTTGAAAGACCTCGGCCCCGTCCAAAATTGCGGGCTTCACTGATGGAAACCTGCCACTGCTCTTTACCAAGGCCTCGTCTTGATCATCCGAAGAGCTCGAGGTCCCGGACGATGAAGTGGAGCTCGAGCTCGCCTCAGTATCCTCGCGATCGTCTCCAGCATCGTTGTCTGGGGCAGCACCAGGGGCAGTGACATCGTCAACAAAGCTGGAGAACTCACGATCAAGGAAAGCATCAACTTCAGCTTCACTCGCCGGCTCGGGTGGAGTGTCGCAAGGGGAGGCTCGGTTCAACTCATGATAATAGGCTTGCTCATGAGTGCTGACAGCCTCAGGTTCCAAGCCAGTCACGTCAGCGGGCTCCTTCGTGAGATCCACCTCATCACCTGCGAGGACCCTTCCTGAAGGAACTGGAGATGGATCAGTTGCACGCATCACCAAGCTGGACCGACACAAGTCGGGCTGAAACCGCCCTTCCCTGATCTGAATGATTACCTCCATCATCTTTCTCAAGGGACCCGATTGCAGGTCGCGAGAATATGTTGCAACCATCTTGTTTTTGCCAACATGGTGACCCAGTATTGTTCGGGTGTCTTCGTCAAGACCATATTTCGAAAGCCATGACAGAACTGTCGCCTTGCCTGAATGTCCTGTAAACTTTGGAGGCACAGCTCCGCTAGAGCTTGCAAGAATCGCTGAGATCTACATGGCGAACTTGGCATTGCTTATCGGAAACCCTGACCACTCGCCCGACAACAAAGGCGCCTGAAGCAGTGGTGAGCCATCCTTGAGCTCACGGAGATCACACCCAGCCTCCTTTGAGGCTTCAATCCACGCTTTGGCCCAAGGCTCGTTGCACAGTGCTTTTGCTGGTGCGATCAAAGGAAGCTCAAGACCCATGGCGTTACCATAACTCCTGCTCTTGTGGGACAGTGAAATACACTCAACAAGTCCTAAGTGCCATCCCTCTTCGCAGCAGATCACAAAGGCCTTTACAGATCTCAAGTCACCAAGGCGTGACCTGCTGTAGATGGCAAACAAGAAGCATCCTGCAGCGTACCTGTCCTGTGCAGAGTTGCTTCGATTTCGAACAAAGTCCTCAAGCAAGATAGTCTCAGACACTGTCATGGCCCGCGCTTGTTTTCGAGGAGGCCTATTCACCCTGACCGCCCTGACCTTTCGAAGCCTTCCCTGCAGGATCGGATGACTCAAAGCACCATTGGCTTCCCTAACCCCGAGCACATGCACTAGGAAACCGCATGCCTCCATGAAACCAGTAATGGCTCCATGCGCCTTGGGAGCACCCACAAGCTCCGAAGTGTATTCCAGGACAGGCTGCACATCCAACGGGAAGCCACTCATCCCCGAATTTGCCCCGAATCACAGCAAAAATTCACATACTTCGAAGAAGCTGCGAGGCGCTTCTTGAGAGTAGCAATTGCCTTGCCTTCCAGTGCATGCATCACACAAGTCACTCTCCTCGAGATGGACAAGTTTTGGATGTAAACTCTGGTGCTGGAAGCACTGTAGTCGTGCGAAAGCAAAAGCTCAAACCGCTGTGCAAGCAAATAAATCTTCTCATCAAGCGTCAAAATGTTTCGCCTGAAAGATTATTTGCAAGTGAATCGCATGAAGAGAGCAACGCTCGAAGGGGTTATGCAAGCGGATCTCTCGACATCCTCTAAGCTCTCTCCTTCGAGGACCTTCTCAGGCCATTCTGCCGGGCTGACCTTGGGGAGCTCAGGCACGGCAGCTGGGGACCCGAAAATGGCCTGCATGGGTCCTTGCTCCCAAGGCAACACAAGATCATGGCACTGGACCTGTGGCATGGCATGGAGAAGCATGGCATTGAAAGTGCTGGAGCTAGACATGATCGGCTGCCACGTAACCCCGAGAACAGCAGGCGAGCAGGCCTGACACTGCTATGTCAGGCAAGGTAAGCTCGCTGCAGGCGAACGGCCGCGGCACTAACGAAGGCGACAATATTACGAAAAATGTGCAGCAGCTCACGATTTGCGACCCGAAGGGCAGTCCAGTCGGACTGAGGCAGACACAGCAGCAGCAAGCTGGATGGCTGAGCTGCTCCCAAAATTTGGGCAAGTGAGGGCAGACCTC